TGATGAAATAAATGATTTTACTTTTATCATCCACCTCTTGTCAATGTCATTAACAAAATGATACAGTCCTGCAGAGAATCTAATCATCCGGTAATGGAATTGGGAGAGAGGGATAAGATTATGCAATTCCTCTGCACACTCCGTAACACATGTAACCTACAGAACGGCAAACTTCTCTCAAACGTCTCTCAATCAAATTAAAAGTATATCGAAGCAGACATTAAAAAGCGCTCCAATCGGTGGTGGATGAGAACCTTCAAGAAGAGAGCATGTTCTTTCCTGAAAGGCCGAACCGGTGTTGCGGATGTTCTTGGTTGGCGGTTATCAGGTGAGCCTCCTGCCCATTTTCCCCCTTAAATAAATTCTCATAAAAAAGAAAAAGCACTATCCTAGCTGTACAGTTCAAAAAATTTTGCGATATTCGCCTATACTTTTAACTGTGATAGACCTCACAGAAGACTAAAGTAGTAATACATTTGAGTTCCGGCGGCGCAGGTTCCGATTCTAATAGGTGATGGCGTTCGATATCACGTGTACCTCATAAGCTAATCCCATAACGAAATGTTACTGGACATTCCAGCTTTGAAAGCACCATTTGTTAGAATCATAGATGAAGTAGGATGTAGGAAGTAGGATGAAGTAGGATTCAGACTTCCGAGACTTCCTCTTTCTCCTGCTCTTATCCCATCTGAGTGGGGGGACACAACGCGTGAGTCAAGTTTCTGATATTATTAGCTTGCGACCGGCCGCCTACCTGACATCAACCAGCCATGGAAACAAACACCACAGAAATGCTTTAATAGAAATGCGAATATCTTCGCTGTTCATAGAAGGGTTTAAGGGTTGTCCATAACCTGTTGCGTTTGGCAATAAATTAGCTACCTAAGTGAAACGTGAAAGTTCTTATTCAGTCAAATGCGTGCTCTTGGTGAAACGTGGGCGTTCTTATTCTGAATGGTCAAATGCGTGCCCTCCAACACTTTACTCGCAGTCTTGGCTCGATAATTTCAGTATCTTCAAGAATCGGCCTCCATCATGATTTCCCTTTGTCCTCTCCCTCTGCGTTATCGTTCGCCACGCCGCCGGCGGCCATTACATGCGAACTTTTCGCAAACGATAACTAGTTCCTCGGAGCAATTAATTTTTACTCACAAAAGGGGCTCCATCGGCTCGCGTTGTCCTCAACCTTTGTTATTTTAGGACGAACGCGTTCGATAAAGCCGAGTTTACAGACCAGATACTGGTCTTCATTAATTATTTTCGGATAATTGACGGATATATTTCGAAACGTAACAGATAGAAGACAGTTTGTGTTTGTAGTTTAAAACGTGTGTGAAATCTTTTCATGATCTCGTGGCATTTTGTTCATTTGACGTTAGTGTAGTATTTTTTTTTTTAATAATAGTTAAGTTAACAGACTAATTTTTCAGACAAACACTTCGGACTCATTTATCTTTGAAATTATGTTGATATTGTCAGAATGATCTTCTTAATGATCAGAATGATCAATTCAGACTTTAACCATCCCTTTGACAACTCTAATAACATTTGAAAAGCCATTTGACAGCTGATTAGTTGACTTCTACGATGTTTCAGAAGCGGGCGTAATACTTCGGACTTGCGACACTGAAGTCGATTCATTTATAAATTTCAATTACGAAAGGCCGTCTTAATAAGCAAACAGCGATTTATATGGTTGAGGGGGAAGTGGTTGAGTAGAATTTGAGCGATTGATAAAGTAGGTCCACGTGATGTAACCGTCGATTATTAACTTTATATTACTTACAGCAAATTTATGAGTTGGGGATACAATCGTAAAACGTGGGTTAAAACGCGATAGATTCTCTTAGTTTTTGAACGAAATTTCGTTTAAATTCCAAATCAAATATTACAGAAGAACATGTTTACAATATTATATTAAAATACACTTGAAAGATTCTGGAGCAAACAATTCACATCCAGAGTGTGTGATCATTTAATAAACACTAATATTTTAATAATAACTTTTAACACACACGTTCCTTAAATTTTATTTTTAAATATAATAACTGATTCATTTCGAACGCTCTCTGGGATATGGAAATGGTATGTATTCATTTTTAAGAAATGAATAAACTCGTAAAGTATTTTTTTATGAAAATATAAAACATATCTCCATAAATGATGATATAAGCAATGTCATTTTCTTTATGAATTACTGTAAAATTGTTTAATTCTACTAATGAATAGCACAACAGAACTTGGTCATTTTGAAGGCTTTTGTTTAGTAAATACATTCGGCTGTATCAATATACTCAGATACAATATATTTATACAATTTGGGGGAGTTCCAAGCTTTTATGAACACTAAGCTACACCGGTTCCTCAAATCGGTCTTATTTATTGGCTCGAAAAGGCCAGAGACTGCGGTCTGGTTTTTATCTACCAATTTTCTGTACATGAATCAACTTAAGTAATATATCCGTAGATAGATGTAAATTTAAAACTCTCTCAACAACATACTGTTTCACGCACATCTCTTATCCAGTTTGTCCAGTCCATTTTGACATGTTGATGACGTGAGCCACATTTGCAACACTGTCAGATAAATGGACTCATAAACTGTTTATGTGTGAGATTGAATGGTGAACTAGTAGGTACACGGCTTTTAAACCTTCACGTAAAATTCCTATTAATATATTAGAAAAAAAAAATACTTTTAACTGTGGCAAGGCCAATCAACAGTCTTCTCTGTTGCACGAATAGGCAGGTCCGTTCGGTTAAGTACAAGGACCTCACAGAAGGCCGGCGTGATGTAGAGGTGTTGTACTTCTACGTTTGGTCTGGTGAGTGATGCAGCCGGGGCCCATTTTATTAAAAGGTGGCAACGCATATGCAATCCTACGTGTTGCAAATGTTCGGCAGCTCGTATACCACTTTCTCACATAAAAAAATCCAATTAAACTAACTCCACGGTATTTAAAAAACCAAGTCCAGGCGGCATGGTGCCAAAAGCATGGCGCTAGCTACGTAGCCCTTAACACTGAACATGAGTGGGGAAAGAACCAGCCCTCATGTCATCAGCCACAACAGTAAGATGAGGAAATAATTTTTATGTATGGAGGCCCAGCGGACCTAAAGTTTCTACTGCAAATAGCAGAATCATAATCAAAAAAATTATTAAATCTTTTCTGAAACTAAATTGACTTAATAACTAACCGACTAAATTCACGTCCAATCGTTGTATTATGCCATTTAGGATTTAGGCGTGAAGATCTACTGGAGATCCTACATCAGAGTGAGTCTATAAGTCGTTAGTTATTTAGTTTATATGTAACTAGCGGCCCAGGGCGAAGGCGGGGCGCCTTCTCGCGGGTGCAATGTATTATACATATAAACCTTTCTCTTGAATCACTCTATCTAGAAAAGAAAAACCGCATCAAGATCCGTTGCGTAGTTTTAAATATCTAAGCATACATAGAGACAGACAGATAGCGGGACGACTTTGTTTTATACTACGTAGTGATGTATATATATATATATATATACAAAGGTACTCTTATTTGCGCCTTCAACTTAAAAAACCAGCCAAGCGCGAGTCGGACTCGCGCACGAAGTGTTCCAAACTATTATTTATAAAACGGTAATTATTATGTCTTTTGCATGGAACCGCACTTAAGTATTTTTTTATTCTGTTTTTGAGTATTTGTTGTTACAGCGGAAACAAAAATACATCGTCTGTGACAATTTCCACAGTCTAACTATAACGGTTCATGAGATACAGCCTGGTGACAGACGGACAGGCAGACAGAGAGTCAGAGAGCGGAGTCTTAGTAATAGGGTCCGTTTTAACCTTTGGGTACGGAACCTTAATAAACGACAAAACTTCTATGGACCTCCCTACCATTAGAATTCAAGTTAATTTATACCATTGCATTGAAAATGTTTATTAATATTAATTCCCTCCTCTTCTATCTTTCGGATTCTTTCTTAACGTGGATGAGATGCTTTTCTATTTTAAAAATAAGCTTAATCGATTAGAATTTGATCCTCTCTATCGTTATAAATTTTTAAATACAACTATTATAATTTATAGACTTACGCCCGGTTTCTGAAACACTGATCATCGTAGATGTCAACTAATCAGCTGTCAAATGGATTTCAAATTACAATTTAGGTACCAAAAGGATGGTTAAACTCTCTGAATTGACCAGAATGATCTTCTTTATGATCACAATGATCAATTAAAAGAGTTTAAACATCCTTTTGGCAACTAAAATGAAATTTGAAATTAATTTCACAGCTGATTAGTTGACATCTACGTTGATCAGTGTTTCAGAAACCGGGCGTAAGTCGTACAAAGTGTGAACTAAGGATTGCATAGAATTAACTTTACGACATATTTGCGAATTCCTTTTTTTTAGAGAGTTGGAAATGCGCGTAAATGTGATTCATTCGATCTATTCATGAAGATTCAAAGTATTGCAGGTGCGATTATTATATTTACAGAATTATTATTTAATAATTATATCTACTCGAATAATTAATTCTTGCTTACTTATTCTATAACCTCATAATTTAGCATGCATGGTTATAGTTAAATTAAAGCCATCTGTGAAATTACACAAATCTCTGCACAGAAAATATTACTCGTGAAGTACTCGTATTATTTCGTACGAAGTGATCACTTCGTCAATCTCATTTTCATGTCAATATTGGAAATTGAAACAGGTTTTCCAAACGTCTTTATATCCTCATTATTTGCTATCGTCGTTTCCCATACGTCCATTTTTGGATACGAGCCTTCCGATGTACAACGCTTTTACAACAATATAGCAGTTATAGAATTTATTTTATTTTCGTAAAAATCTTCGGGACCCCGAGCGACCAATTAAAATTAATATAGGGAAGCACGCGACGAAAGCGCAACGATTTGTGCCAAATTATTATTTTTCCGACGGGGTAATTTAATTTCAACATTCTAGTAGCTTCCCCGATTATTACACACTTACCTTTAAACGATGCCGGAATGGGATCAAGCGCTCTGCATAACTTGGATCGCAACTTTGTGGCGCGAAGGAAGCGGCGTGCGTGCTGTCGCCGGCGCGGCAAATTCACTGTCAACTGCTGCAAAGCGCGGGAAAGCGCGTCTACTTACGCTCTCCGCCGACCAATCGCCGCCGCCAGCCGCCTCCGCGGCCCGGCCGCAGCCAATCGCGTCAAAGGCGAAACATTAAGCGTTTAAGGGTTTTTTCATGTCAGTATTGTTCGAACGTTTTCATTATCATACGCTAGGGAAAGCACGCGGCTTCGCTCGAGCTTTAATTTTTTTTTTCGTTTTCCAGTTTTCCAGTTTTCCGATGGCTATACTTCGCATATCTTCGGGTGGCCAAACGATTCGTATGATTGTAAATAGGAAAACCCCGTCAAAGTTTAGTCCAAAGTATATTATTTTTGAAATATTTTATAATCATCGGTGATTAAGACATTCGAGGTTGAGATAGGGATTTAAAAGTTTTAATCATGGTAAAACGACATTATAAATGTTGTGTTAAAATCAATCTCTTTGTTAAATACTATTATAATAACAAGAGTTATTTCGATAATAAGATTCTAAAAAGCACTAATCTCTCAGACGACAATCACAAATACGCAGCGAAATTGAGGCGAGGAATATCCATCTCAATGGTGGTGATCGGAAAGTGTCACCATCGTACAACACGTCGATGTCAGCCGACCACCATGGGTTTTTCAAGCAACTTTCTGCCACGCAGAACTTTATGGAACCGGCGTTATTTCTGGACTAATACGACTAAGGGCCATCAAGATCTCAATCTAACCTCAAAAGCTAGCAAACCGTTTGAGACTCACCATCAAGTGACTGACATATTCACTTGTCTTTATCTATGAAGAAAAGAATTGCGGAGTGCATAAGGAAGTTCTTCGCCCAGCAATGGGCAATTTAAATGCGTGGGTTGTGACTTCACTAGCTAGGGGCTAGTTAAACAATTTTACTGAATTGCTTTCTAACATCCTCTCACACAGTTCACTGACGTTATAAATGAAGACTTGTACAAAATTACATGCATCTTAACCCGACTTTATTCCATCTGTCAGGCAGTTGCTGTTAGCGTTCCATTCAGAAATTTGTCCAAAAAAAATTCTAAATTTCTAATCGTCTAATGATTATACTATACTATACTACTACATGGTAAACTAACTGACCAACGATTTTCCATTTTATTTTATCTCCTACTTAATGGGTATTTGTCACTATCGGCTTTTCATTGACTGATAAAGATTAAAGCCCTCTTGTTTAGTATTGTAGACGTAAAACACTATTACTAATACATGTAGTGCCATTCATGGAATATCTATGAGCCATAAAATGAATAACGCTTTCAATAGCTTTGCCAATACACCGAAAACTATCCTGTAACGTTAAAGGAAAATTATTGCAAAAATTACGATATCCACAGTAGAACAAGGACAACAGACTTATTTTTTAAGTGAGAAGGTGGCAAACGAGCTGGATAACCTGATGTTAATTGATAACCGCCGCCCATTGACATTCGTAACACCCGAAGGGCTGCAGATGCGTTGCTACCTCTTAACAAAGTTGGCCCTCGCTACCTCACTCACCAGACGAAACGCTTCTGGGTTATAATACTTCCACTTAATACCGGTCTTGTGATGGAAGTTGTTTTAATAAATAGGCATGAAAACTTTTAATGAAGAGGTCAAATAATCATCTTAATGTTAAAACTTTTGTTAGTGGGTAAATACTCAAAAACATTGTAAATACCTGAAATGATCTTTAGACTGAACGCTCTGTGGACTGGACTGGCTAAAAACTATATATATATTCAAATTATCTTTATTCAAATAGACGCTTGCGCGTTCTTTTCAAACGTCGTATTTTACATAAAAATTTATACATAAGTAAGTAAGTTAACATAGGGTCGGAAAACAGTTTCTATTCAGATGAGACCGGCAAGAAACTCAACAGTTGCTCTTTTTTGAAAAGATAATTTTAGAATATATTGTCAAATATATATGTTGCTTTTTCTTTCACATAAGTATTATAACATCGAATTTTCATAAGATTGGAATAAGACAGAAAACGCCGATAACCTGCAAGTATAGACTAAGTTTTCATATATTTGAGAAGGTAGTGAGCGAAGAAAGCTTAATGCTTAGTGACAACCGCCCATAGACGCATATCACTTGTAGGGTCTCAGATGTTGCCAAACTTTAAATATGTGCACACAATAACTCATGCTTTCGCACGAATAGGCAGGCTCCTGCTGCTATCGGCCTCAAGTGGAAGCATTATACTTTCACGTATCGTCGTGGTTTCGTTTGACACATTACTAAGGAGTCATTTATTGACTAACTGCATGGTAATTTATTTTTTATAGTGCTAATCTCTGCACTTAAGATTGAACATTAAAATTTGTAGAAATTTGCAGAAAAATTTCTTTGTATGCTGGAAAGGATATAACAATGGATGCGCCAAGCATTGCTTCAAATGCTTAAAAACAATGTCGATAAAAGACGTTTACGATTTTCGTCGGTGTGGCAATCAGCCGTTTAGCTCAGTGGCTAGAGCGTGAGGCCGTGAATGCCGAAGACGTGGGTTCGATTCCCACAGCGGCGACAATCTTTTCGTACTTTTTCCACAAATTTTAACTTCATGGCGTTAATGCACGGCGTGCATGCGCATCATGCAAAATCACTCTCATAATATTTTTCCCTAACTCGTCTAAAGTAATATGTAACTTTAAACATACGTAAAACAGTTTTATTTCGCAATAGTCTATCAGTCACGAAACGCCATATTTCAGATAGCAAAAGTGGCTTTATTCTCCCACTGTGAACAGGAAACAAACGAAAGGAACGTTTCTGACTTTATATTACTGCCATGACAACTTGTGAGTCCGTACAATAGTGAAAGCCATGTCCCGTTCATTCATAACGGAAGATATTATTCCCCGTCTTAAATCTTAAACCTTACCATTAGCATAACAAACAAACTACAAATACACTACTATTATATACTTTTTATAAGAGAGAAGGTGGCAAACGAGCTGATATGAAGTGATAACCGCCGCCTGTAGTCTATAGGCATTCGCAACACCCTTTTAATAAAGTAAGCCCCGGTTACCTAAATCACCGAACGAAACGCAGAAGTGTCACTTCTGCGTTTCGTTTGGTCTTCTGTGAGGTCACGGTACTTCCCCGGACGGACAATCCCATTCGTGCAACTGCGAAGACTTATGCGTAGCCCTACCACAGGGTTTAAATCACAATTAAAACACAGAAACATAAATTCAGACAATTTTTAGGAAGACTTGTAAATATAAGGTCCATGAGCCCCACTAAATATTTTTTATCCTGTTTTTTAGTATTTGAAAGTCAAAGTCAAAGTATCTTTATTTAATACAGGCTTAACTTAAGCTCTTATTGAACGTCAACAAAAAAAAACTACCACCGGTTCACTAAACTAGACCTGAAAAGAGAAGAACCGGCAAGAAACTCTGCGGTCTTGTTCTTTTTGTTTTTTTTTTGTGATGCCATTATACAAACTTATTTAGGTATAAAATCAGTAGCAGCCAGCATCTTGCAAGTGCAGAGCAAGAGTCATTTCCACACATTCTCTCAATGTATTCTTGGACATTATAATAGGCCCATGCCATTAGGGTAGCTTTTACAAATTGTTTATACTTAGTTGTTTATTGATGTCACCTATTTTATTATCAAAGTAGATGCATCTATCAAGAAACGACTTTCTGGTTTTAGCCAGTCTAAACCTCGGTACTTCCAATGTGTCAACATGGCCCCGACGTGACGTGGAATGTTTTTTTTTGTAAATAGGTGGATATTATTACGTACATACATGATGTTCTAATATTTTTTATTGGTACGGAACCCTAAAAAAATAACCAGACTGAGTACCACATTGGTACATATGACTCTTTAAAGCAACTTTTGCCCCCTCGTCCATGTATAACAACCATTGCTTCGATCCTAAGTTAAGTCGGAAAGGAAACTCATTAAGAAACGAAATCTCAAGTCACATTTCTTAACCAACGGTTACATGCGGAGTTTAAAAATAGTTAAGAAAGAGGGCTTAGGTAATTTGCACATCTTTGGCTTCCTCGTCTGAAAACTTACCTAATGTTTCCCAGCGTTCGTCAAGTTTTCGAATCGAAGTTTTGTTGGAAATTAAGCTACTTGTTAAGTCATCGGAATAAAAGGCTTATCCTAATTAGCTTTTTAAACTTTATACCGACCAAAAAGAAATATTTGGGAAATTAATTTAACCGAAAAAAATTAACAGTGTTATACTACCCTTTTAAATTATAGGATAATAATAATAAATTTAGTCTCGAACTGAGTGAAACTTGTATTAAGGGTCCTATTTAACCAATAAACACACTTACATGAAGAACCTTTCTTTGTAAATAACATATTATAGACATAAAAACACAATGCTAACCCAGTCCAGTCTTGGAGATAAAACCCGTAGTTGGTCAACTCGGTGTAAGAGACAAATTCGCGCACTGCGGTAATAGGGTCGTCTAATATTTCCGGGTTCCCGCCTTGTCGTTGTGGAGGGGCTCAGTAGCTATGGCTTGGTCACCCACGGCGAAGCTAAGAGGAACTCACACTGGGCCGGCCTGTGGTGTAAGGCCAGCACGAGAGGGCCGCTCCGTGTGGGCTCATACTCTTGATGCGTGCTGGAGGGTGCAAAACAGTGTCCGTAAATCCGTATCCTTGTCTTCTGCTACCGAGGAGGAGGAGTTGCGGAGGAAGAGGAGTGTCGGTATTGCGTTTGGCCGCTCTCCCTATCCTCCGCGAATCGGCGGGGCAGCACCGCTGATGCAGTGGCGGTGGGGCCGCGGGGGAAAAGGAGTGTCGGTATTGCGGTACGCCGTTCTCCCTACCGTCCACGGCCGAAACGTGGTGAGCAGTGGAGCCACAGACTGGAGGATCTCCTGGCCCCCATGGCCTCTGGTCAGTGAACTCGGAGGAGTTCGCTGACCAGAAAATCTGGTCGCTGGTCCTGAAAATGGTGCCAAGTAGGAAGGCGCGCTGAATGTACTAGCATACCTTACCTTGCGGAGAAAGGAGGTGCTCCCAGACGTTAACAAAAAATAACATTTTTGTAACGTCAGTTTTATTATAAAACACCTGTAACTACTCAAACCAATTTGTAAGTGTTAGGGCCTCGAAGCAGCCTCGTCTGTACGCATGGGCAGGCTCGTCCGGGTAAGTACCACGACCTCACACAAATCACGTAAAGTGCAAGTATAATACTTTCGCGTTTCGTCTGGTGAGTGAAGTGGCCGGAGCCCAATTTTCTAAAGGTTGTCAACGCATCTGCAACCCTCGGGTGTAGCAGATGTCCATGGGCGGCGGTATTCACTTAACATCAGGTGAACCGTCTGCTCGTTTAGCAACTTTCACAAAAAAAAATTGTAGGTTATTGTTATTCTACGGGGGGTGGGCGCGACGACTACCATCGATCCAAAGCGAATTAGGCATACGTGAGTGCAAATTAACGAAACTAATGAAGATAGCGAACGGAATAAATATGTTTTACTGTGTCCTACATGTCCACGGCCGTAAATTCGATTAAGTATGAGTTTATGTGGATGTATCCTATTTATACCAATATTAATTCACGATAACTGGCACATATTAAAAAAACCGTAGAATTTTTTAAAAAATTAGAAAAAAAACTGAAAATAAAAATGGAGAATAATAAAGAAAAATTAATATAACTGGCACCTGCATTTTCATCAGAATATAATAGACTCTGTTATTATGTTTATCAATAATGGAAAATATCACGTACTTTGCGCGTGGTTTCACTTTTTATATAACTTGTGTTAAATATAGAATAAAAATTAGTAGAATCTTGTAAATGTGGAAAACAAATTGAACCCACCAAAGATATACCCATCGAATGTTGAAATAAGGAGCAAGGAGTATTTATTCATTACGTTTTATACGTTGGATAAGCAGTGGTATGTTTTGAAAGTGTGTACTGTAGCATATATCCTACTTTTCAAAGCAAAAAAATTATTACAATGGGACAACTATAATTTGGAGCATACAAGTATTCGTGATCCGTCAGGCTTACATGCTTTGAATCATTAAAAAAGTCTAAACTATATTAAGTTGTAGCATAATTTATTGAACCCTAATTATATCCATTATCGTAGGCACTTAAAACACATATACACTACTCCTTTTCTCAATAGGTACTCCATAATTATATTTACCCTAACTTAGTCAGACCTGTTTTAGGGTAATAACCGTATAGGAAATTATTATCAATCTAAAATTCATACATACAATTTCTCTTTTTACTTAAGTACCTATTTTGTAACATACTATGTTATATTAAACATTGTAAGGTTTCAAAATTAAATCAATGGACATTGAAGTAAAGTAACAGTCTATATATATATATATATATACCAGAGCTGAGCAAAGTCCACCTCGATACTAGGGCATGTCCACCACTCGACAGACTTCACAGATCCACAAAATAGTTTTTTTTTTGTTGTTAGTAAAATAGGCAGGTTGCCGATGTCACGATATTTTCCTTCACGCAGCGGTGAAGGAAAATATCGTGACTGTGCAATTAATAGTTTCATTCTGATAAAGGGGTGTAATGACTAGAAAATATAGATCCAAGATTTATGTTCTTCCTATGACTCAGTGGTGCAGTTGCTAACCTATTGACTTCCGCATCGGAGGTCGTCGTTTCGATTCCCACACGGAACAAGAGACAAATGTTCCGGATCTGGGTGTTTATTCTCACGGAGGGTTGACGTCAGGCAGGTGACAGTTCTAAAAATCTAGCCAGTACCGTTAACAAAATAATTCACGTGTTTTGCCGACCCAACCTAGGTGGGAAATGGCATGAGAAAGAAGACCACATAAATATAAGTAGTAGAAGTTTCCTTAGTTTGGTCATAGTGTATCATTAATGATAATCTGTAGGTGTACCATTAAAGAGAGTTGAATAAATAAGACAAATGACTTTTGTATCAAAATCATAATATAATTTTGATCCGTATTAAAATGTTTCTTAACGTTTGAAGTAGTTAAAAAACTAGACAACAGATGACGCTTACTCAGCTTTTGGGAATATAATCGATGGAGTAGATTTCAACGTAATGATACCATTTCTATTGGCTAGATGGAAGCAAAATTAACGTACTGTATTGAAATATTATACTGAAATATTCTACACAAGATCTATTAGAGACAAACGTATTGATTTAAAAGAATGGGCTGGAAGGGCCACTCTTCCATTGTTCAGTTGATTATTATAGAATAAATGATATGATATTTGAAAAACATCGATGTCTCGAATCCTTAATTTTTTTAGATCTTTAAACCATTTTTGAATAGTCGATGTTTTCTTGTAGAATGTTTTCATATAAAAAACATATCGTATATAAAATGTATTTATTTCTATTTTAGGCACTCAAAAATGTTACTTAATAAAGAGTGAAAGTAAAAGAAAATAATTTTAATGGATATAATTGTCTATGACTGAAAAACAAAATCACAATTGTCTTATTTTGACACTGCTCGATCATCGATGGCGTTGGCGTCTGTAGTCATAGATAAGACATATATACTGAAATATTTCTGTAGTTGTTTGATAAACTAGAAATAGAAACTTTTACTTACTCAACTGTTTATAAAAATCTGTATAGAATATTTAAGTAACAAGTATTTATTTACGCATTCATTCTATTTAGTGTTAAAGAAAAGTGAATCTTCGGTTTTTCACTCAGGTAAGTTTAACAATATTTATTTAATTTTTAGTACGTTTAGGTTATGTTGTATGATTGTCTTGAACTTTTTTTCTGTAAAGGCTATAACAATATGTTATATAATGAATGTACCATATATTAAATGCCTGTTATCTTATTACTTAAATTTTTTACCGTATTTCGCGATGAAAAAGCATAGTACGGATCGTGGCGTTAAACAAAATTATGTGCCGGTGCTATATTACACAAAATATACTTTCTTGTTCGACGAGTTAAATATTAACTTAAAAAGAATTTTGTGAAACAATATACTTCAACGAAAATTCCAGAATGTCGAACCAAGACGAAGCACCGTTACCGGAGGGATGGGAGATGCGAACCAGCCGATCGACAGGAATGACGTACTTCCTAAACATTTACACCAAGAAGTCCCAGTGGGAACGTCCTGAAGCTCCAGCTGACCCAGGTGAAATAAGGTGCAGCCACATATTAGTCAAGCACTCGGAAAGTCGTAGACCATCTTCGTGGCGTGAAGAGACGATAACGAGAACCAAAGAAGAGGCCTTGGACCAGATTAAAAGTTACCGTAAGCAGATAGTTACGAATGATTCGACATTTGTGGATATTGCAACAAAGTATTCTGATTGCTCGTCTGCTAAGCGTGGAGGAGATCTCGGAATGTTTGGTCGTGGGCAAATGCAGCAGCCATTTGAAGAAGAAGCATTTAAACTAAAAGTGGGCCAACTGAGCAAACCTGTTGAAACAGAATCTGGCTACCATATAATTTTAAGAACCGTGTAAGTTTGCCAAACTAATTAGAGTTTTTCCGGTAAATGTTTAGCATATTGAAATTAAAAGTAATTTTAAACAATAGAGAAAAATCACTAATGAATTAATCAGCAAGCAGAATACTCAATATAGTTTTCGATAAAAAAAAAATAGTGTAATTTTCTCTATAGATATCCGCCTTTCTTTTTGTCAATATGTTAATTCTGCTTTTATTTCTGGTTTCTGCTCTGTGGTCAAAAAAAGTATAACCACGAAGGCCTTAACCTTGTGAGCTAACCTGTCCGAGTCCAATTGCTTTTTGTCAGTCTTGTGACTTATTAAATTAAAAAATTTATAATGTTGGCAGGATATGTATTCAGCTTTTGAAGTCAAATTAATAAAATTTTTGTGGACTTTCTTAGTGGAAATAAGAAGGTTTATATATTTTTTTTTCTCGAAAACTGTAAGGGACCATTCTGATTTTTGATTTATTCATTAGTTATTTTCTCTAAATATGCACTTGCCAACATGCTGAACATTTGCCGTTTTTCCTTGCAAAAAGTATTTTTATTAAAATATTGGCAACTTTGTCATAATTATGATCAATGTCCAGAGCTGATAATTGTTATGTACATTGCTAATAACGACCACCACCATCTTTGACTAAACAACCCTATAGTATCTGTATTTTGTTGTAATGCGCTAGACCAGGGGTGAGCAACCTTTTTAATCAATGGGCCAATTTAAATTTCAATTTTTTTTGGCGGGCCGTACATAACAATTTAAGAAAATTTATTGATGATACATATTTGAATAAAAAAATATAAAATTAAAAAAAGTAAAGATTTCATATACAAATTTTAATGCAAGGTAAAAACAAACAAGAAAAGAACAGAAAAACGAACAAAAAATATTTTGGTTCGGTATGTTCTAAAATTTTATTATCATTAATTTTATAACAATATATTGATGGTAGAAATTCGATAAAATAAATTCAATTTTAGGAATGCTTGGCGGGCCGCATAAACATGTTTAAGTGGCCGCAAGCGGCCCGCGGGCTGCGCGTTGCTCATCCGTGCGCTAGACAATGAAATTATAGGCATTTTTATATATTGATTTTTCATTCAAAGAGAGATCATTTATAAATTCATAAAAGAAATTGGTATTAAAATATGTCTGTATTAATAAGATTGATCATTTTAAAGAACATGTCTTATTTACAATTTATAAAAAGGCAATAGAACTTGTTTTGGGATAAGTTCACATTAAACTATTGTTGAGAAGTCTTGAAACGTTAAACCATATATAATGCTATTGAATACTATGTGTGTTAACTATGTTTTTTAAGAGTGATATATGCATACCACTCTTAAAAACCATGATTTTCAACAAATTACAGTTTTAAAATATGGATTACTTGTAGGATCTCTTTAAAGAATGGTGGATTCAAAATAATACATAAAAATAGACTGCATAGATGGTGTTGATTTGTTATTATATGTAAAATGTATAATGAATTTTTAAACACCGGCTAATGAAAAAAAAAAGGAAAAGTATCCTTAAGATGTGAGAATGATTAAAATGTTTCATTGATCATTTGTAAGTTTATTTATTTTTAAAGCCTTTATCTTGCATGTGTAAGATATTCACAAAATTGTTAAACTTTTAAGGCCAGAAACATGTGGAAAATGTATGTTAAGGCCGTGGTCCTATTTTCATTGAATTTCATATTTCTTAATAAAGGTTCTGACATGGTTATCTGTTGTTTTCCTTTGTTGTAAATTCTCCCTCTGATCAAATTCAATGAGCCAAAAAAGCGATTATTTTGATGACGAAATTACATATTTATGTGATTGTATTAAAATGTGTGTGTTATATTTATACTTCGAACCTAACACTTGTAAATTAGACAAACACAAAAGGTATCTTAGGCAGGCAATTAAATATCGGCATAGTTGAGGAAATGAAAATTGAAAATATGTTTTTTTCATTAGACTACAATGTTGGCTAAATATAATTTATATGTGAAATCAACAATTTTAAAGAATGTAAAGATCGTTTATTAATATTGCATATAATAAAATGTATCAGCTGAAATCAACTAGATTTGTTGATTTGTTGAATCAACAAGTTTTATTAATAAAAGTATATGGAATATTTTCTTCAATTCATTCAACAAACATAAAAATACATTTTGTAACATAGTGATTTGGTTCCAGAATGATTTATATTTTTCTGTATATAGTCATTAAAATTAATTTAATCATTTTTAAGATACCTATTTTGTATGTTAGTAGTAATGTTAGGTTTGACCATTATTGTTTATCATTCATTTGCAATAATACCATACTGTTATGGTATTCCTATACAACATTTCTTTAAAATTGTATACGGTGGTTTAGTTTCTAGTATTATATGGAATATTTTTATTTTGACATGAGAAAGACATGGAAGGCGTCTGCTGATATTAGTAGAGATATTGGAAGATGTGACTTAAATTTTATACGGGTTTTATAAAGAGCCTATAGAAACTTGTCAAATGAAGCTATCCATTTTGTCCTTCCACTGGCCATTGGTACCAATGACTAATGAATACAAAAAAAAGACTTATTCATTAGAATCTTGATTTTCATTTTTTTTAATTAATCTAGATTATATATAAAATAATGAAACACACATTCTACAGACAGTTAATCAAAACCAACAACTTAATGTTTTACCAAACCCAAATTTTATGGACTCAATGCACAATATATGTATAGAAATGCTTGAAAATAACTGGACAAATGTACATATAGCGGGAATTTAATTTTTATTACATTTTATTTCTTAATAAAATTTCGATTAATATTAGAAATAACGCCACACACAAAGAAAACCAAATTTACAACTTCAACAGTGGTTTATTTCAACATAGTAGCGTTACATATAAATATAACAATTATTAGCAGGTTCTATTGACATGCGTTTAACAACTTTAGTATCTAGCTACCTACCCGGAACTTGTCCACAATGAATCCAGCCTATCCATAGTGGACAATATGCTACGATTTATCATTTTAATATTATGGCACTTATTTAAAATACTCTACAATAAATACGCCATATCTTCTTTGGATCTTCATCGCTGTTGTCGCAGTGTTTAATGCTCTCTGGTTATCACATGGTCGCGTTCAGGGTTGTTCCTGATGACTAGGATGGTGTCTAACGTCGACTCCTTGACGTTCTGCGGTGCGGGGGTCCATATGGGGCCGATTATCGGCGGGGACCTCTTCCCCCCCCACGCGCTGAACTTCACCTTTCTCTTGCCGTCGGTCTTTAAGGCGACGTCTGTGTACGTGTGGCCCGGCTTGAAGAACTTCGGTATGCTCTCGACGAAAGCTCTGTACGGCAGCGCCTCCCTCAGCGTGCGCTCGTCGTTCGCGCTGAGCGCCAGGATCTCGATAGGATGGCGCTTGTCCCGAGCGGGCACGAACTGGAATCCCCTTAAGTCCATTCGCCCCCCGTTCGGCGAGTAGTTCGTGACTATTCGCGTCAGCTCCGGCACGGACGTGGCGAAGATGACCTTCGCGCCCTTCGTGCCGGACTTGTAGATGATCTGCTCGCTCCGCTTGCCCCCCCACGGGCTGAATCGCACCCTCTTCGGCATGTTCGGCTCTCGTGTGTTCGCCGCCCGCTTCCACGTCCACACGTGCTGGAGGCTCGCCGCGTCCCGCTTGCCTCCCCAAGGGCTGAAGTTCCTCTTCTCAAGGCCCTTCTCGTAGTTCCCGTCCGTCGAGTTGTCTTCCCCCATGTTCGAGATAGGTGACAGGTTTTGGATGAATCTCGCCAAGTCGCCCTCGTAGCGCGGCAAATAGAAATTATCTGCCGCCTCGGCACCGTTCCCGTCTATCGTGCGGCGGTTGCGCTTCAGGTCGAAGCTCTGACCCTCGCCGCTGTGGTAGAACTGATCGAAGGCCGGTATCGGTATATCTTTGGTGTACTCAAAGTCGTTGCGCGCGGGAATGTTGAAGTAGTTTGTGTGGGGCAGCGGCGAATTGTGGTAGTTGTTGGGTGGGTTAGCTTCGCTCGCGTCTCCGCCGTTTATGTACTGTAGTCTGACGCCACCGAAACAAGAGAACGCTATAACGAGCCAATAGTACGCCATGGTTCTGTAACAAGGGCATAATTGTCAGATATTGATACCTACATTAAACTTTGGTAGGCCACGCAAGTATTAGCTGTTGTAGGAATGGGCATATGCGTCCGCGTACCGCAAACTTGACAAAATACCGTTGTTGACAGAGTGTTATACTTTTGCATTTTGTCTGGTCAGTGAGGTAGTCAAGGTCTCACTTTATTAAGACGTGGCAAAGCATCTGCATCCTACGGGTATTGCAAATATCAATTATCGCTTGACATTAGGTGAAACGCCAGTTCGCTTGCTATCTTCTAACATAAAAAACTATGTTCACCTTATATAACAGATAAATGGGACTCGAATTTATTACCGTTCTTCGACAAAGAACTGAAATAACGTGTTGGTTATCGACCACAATGCAATACAATATAGGATTATTTCTATACATGCATAGAAGTAATCATTATACTAGGGTTACCCGCTATTTCGTTTTTGTTTTAAAATCACATGGGATATTACAAAGTTTTACATTTTTCTGATTTCTTACTATCGTGGTCGGTTACCGTCTGAAATCAGAAGCATTAAAAGATGAGATAAGTTACTTATTAACAGGTTCGGTAATCTTACTTGCAGGCAATAAAAACTTCCTTACAAAATAATAGTTCAGTAACAAAATGTTAATAACAATACAAGATCATTAACAATGTGTAATACTTGCGTAAATTCTACGTTAATACTATAACATCAGTAATACTTGCGTAAATAGCACAAAATGTTACTAAGTTGAGAAACTTCAGATCAGACTGATATTGTGCGATTATATATCAATCTAAAAATAACTTTAGCTAATGTATGAGTCGTTATAATAACAGTTTTTGTTCTTAGATCATTATAACACCAATCGCGAAAACAATGAAAGTATATTATAATTAGAACCGGTTACTCCCAAGTTTTGTTTAGCCCCATCTGCATATAACCAGTTTTCTGAAATAACATGAGACTCGGAAAGAAAATATCCAGTGTTTTTGCTTTAACTACTTAATGTACGGTTATCTTAACAAATGTAAGAGTTTACTTTTGCTAAGAAAACATTTCTCTTACAATTTTACCGTGTGTAGTATGGTATTCATGGTAATTGAAATTGTGCGACTAATATAATTTCAGCACATTAAATGATAAGCCTCGTACGTTACCTAATCCAGATCTAATGTCTGCCGATAGTAATAATGAACAGCTGACCAAACAAAATAATCATTAAAATAAACATTCAAAAGCATACGTAATAGCTTCAACTTTAAGGGTCCTTTGCAGTAAAACGCTATGCGTAATTGATTTTGCTAATGTCCCATCCTATAACATTATTTAGCATGAATCTTAACTAATTTACATAATAAGATTGGGCACCATTATTCCGAGTGTTCTAGTGACTAGGCATCAGGCTTTCGTTCATAAGATTTAGAATTACCGACACTAATATTTATCGTTTTTAACAACCTTTCTTCGACTTGTTCTTTCACTCATCATGTATTACAATAACTCGAAGTTTATATTAAGCTACCAAAGACCTTTCTGGTATATTTCTTGTCAATATTTTTTTTTCACTAACATAATTTTTACTTTTTACCTAGTTATCACAGTTCAGAAGCCACCAAGAGTTCACCTCTTTATATAACAAATTATTCTCATTTCAAAACTACATTCTCGAATTGCAATTAAAAGTGTTTTTTTTTTAGTTTTTTTTAAACTGTTTTTTTTTTTATTTTTTCGCTTTTGTTTCGTGCATATCTTCCGCCCTGTATTATTGTAATCGACCAATTTCATCTGATGTCAAGTAATAACTACCTATAGTTCGGAAGTAAGAGCAATAGCATAAGACTTCTATTCTTCGTTAACTTCTTGCTAGCGACTTTTAACTGAGACGCGCTGTATGTTCATGATGATTGCTGCTTCCAAAAAGCTATGAAGCTTTTAACAAACAAATACTGACGTTTACGCCCCATCCAAACTTGCAGTTCCATGCATAAGAAGCGCGCTTGGAAGGAACAGCTGATGTTTTTCTTACATTTCAATGTTAATACTTCCCCAACCCGAAGCATCGTGTTCAATATTCAGTTAGTTTCATGAAAACAATGCGTCCATCGGCTCAGACGGACGAACCGGTTGTGTAACACATTTGAATTGTAAAAGAAGATACGTGGTAAAGCGTGTTAATGAAAGAGTGAAAAAATATGTGATATATACGATTCGTTCTTATATAGGTTTAAACCAAGACGAATCGCACGTGGTTATAATCGGTATTTCCTTCTCATCTCATAATTTTGTTTTAGACTCATGCTTTGTAGAACCTTTTTAAATATTACGTCCGAATGCCTATTGCTTCTCCTGATTAGGATTTTTAAGATCTTTGTCTTTTGGTCTATTTGGGTTCGTATTTGTTATTTTAATAATGATTCTTAAGAGACGTAGACTTGGCTAAAGCTTAAGCGAGCGCTCGTTTTATGGGTTTTGTCGCAACACTCTACAGCTCTTAGATTGTTTTCCTCTCCTTTAAGTTATACTAAAAACGGGCCAAGTGCATTTTTTTAAGTTTTTCTGGATTTTAAGTGTTTAGTGTTTTTCTGTGTCAGGTATACCGGCAACAGAAATACATCGTCTGTAAAAATTTCAACTGTCCAACTATCACGGTTCATGAGATACAGCCTTCCTTCCTTCTTTCACTCCGTACCCTTTGGGTATGGAACCCTAAAAATGTATTTTATGCCTCGTGCGGAGTTAAGAACAATTAAATTTACCCAATTACGTTAAAGCACCTTCTGTCATCAATACTGTGATATCAAAAAAGCTGTAACATTGCACGTAATACTTTGAAGGGTGACGGTTACAAGATACAATCAATATCAAGTTTTGATACCCCGTTAATCTGTGATGGCTCTTATGAAGCAGTTGTCTCAACTGGGACACGTAAATTATTGTGGATTTGGAAGTTTGTCTATGCCTAGTTATCGTTTGTAAAACGCCAGCAATAGAGAGGTGTACACCTCTACACTCACCATTGCGGTCGAACATAGCGGCACATTTGAAATGGACTCCCAACGAATGAAATCGCCCTTACAAATTGGAGATTTATATAATAGGGGATTCTTTCGTTTCGTCTCGTCCAAACGTTTGGTCCGTGACTAACATTTAAAAGAACCATAAGGATGATACAAGTTAGTAGTGGTGCCTCCATTGCTTATAAAATTGTTTGCTTATATTTATATACCTGTATTCCATGTTATGTGTAATATATAATTTTATATATAGTATACAGATATATGCAAGAATGGGTAACCACGTCCGGGGAAGTACCGCGACCTCACAGAAGACCGGCGTGAGGTGGTAGTATTGTAATTTGAGCGTTTTGCCTAGTGTCTGATTGGACCTTGGCCTTAGGGTTAATAACGCTGCTTCAACTCCTCAGGTTTTGTGGAAAAAAATTTTAAAGGCCGCCAGTGGTGTTGTAGATGTCCGTTGGTGGCGGTAACCACTTAACATTAAGTTAATCACCCGCTCACTTGCCCACTTTTCGTATAATACCTATATTTATATATCTGAGTACGTTTTTCTTTATATATATAATTATTCTTCTGTACGTGAGTATGTCACTGAACTCCTCCTAAACGGCTGGACCGATTTTAATGAAATTTTTTGTGTGTCTTCAAGTCGATTCCACAATGGTTTGATTTAGATTCACAATTCGGGACACTACAACTTTTTTTTATTTATAAGTTGTCGGAATTTAAGTCGTATGTACAGGGTAACGTCTGTTGGGTCCGCTAGTGTTTGTATATATTTCATATTGTCAAATTAACTATGTAATTTGTTTTGGAATCTTATTATTTGACCATCTACGTTTTATCTCTACGCCTCGTGTTTACTGGGACAAAAATATGTTACGCCTACAGCCTACATTCTACGCAGACGTAGTCGCGGGCAGCAGCTAGTTTATGAATAAATCAGAAACTAGGTTTCCCTACATTCGGAATGATTGCTATACGCATTAGGAAACTGATTCATTAAATGAATTTAAGCATGGGATGCTTTTGATGAATATATCTACTTACACATATTAAAAAATGTTCAACACCGAAACAATATTTGCGTGTTAGTTTGCGGAAAACTAATTCAAGAATGACCTAGGGCGTGGGTTTGCTAAGGTCTGCAATCCAATATTATCTCAAAGTCATAAATGTTCTATTCTATTTAGGTTTTATAAGGTCTAGGCTCTTATGAACACCTAAACCTTTCTCTCTCTCTCCAATTATTATTCCCATCTGATGGTGGGGTCTGCCTTCTTGGTCTTATACTTCCACTTCGCTGTACTCGACGCGTCATCTTCGGTAAGCTTGCAGGAACGTAGATCTTGTCTGACCACATCTGTCCACCTGGTTTTGGGTCGCCCTCTGGGTGTAGACCCTATGAACACCTAAATCTATCTTCGAAAAATCTCATTCAAGATCTGTGTGATTTATTATGTTTTGGAACATTCATTTTAATTAATACTTTATCAATGTTATTTCATGTTACACAAAGTGAGCAGTAACAATAATGCACACCATTTCTAAGGAGTTATTTTCACATAGACTTGACGAGGAAGCGCATTGGGCTTTCTAAGGAGAAAAGGGTAAATTTACTAATTTATTAAGATAATGCTCTATCAAGTCATAACTTTGAAACTTGTAAAGAAACAATTTTCCGGTTGTGCTAACCGCAGTTTTGGACCTAGACATAACATCGCACTGGAAGTCCCATGGCGATATTACTGCATCACAGGGTACATTTTTATACAATTTTACTACAGCGACGTAAGTATATACATTTATAAGCTTGAAAATATGTCGAAGATACTCATGGATACAGGTCCACACTATGACTAGGGCCCAATTCAACGGGCAGCCTAATTGATACACCATATCATACAATAATGTGATATTATCACAAGATTTATAAACGAATTAAGCTTATGCCTTGTCGGTTATCTCCGTAAG